ATCAATGAAATGAAAAGTTAGTTTTTTGAAAAGATAAACAAAATTGATAAACTACTAGCTGGACTAACCAAGAAAAAAGAGAAGACACAAATAATAAAATCAAAAACAAAAAGGGAACATTACAACTTATACCACAGAAATACCAAAGGTCATTAGAGACTATTATGAACAATTATATGCTAACAAATTGGAAAACCTAGAGAAAATGGATAAATTCCTGAACACATACAACCTACTAAGATTAAACCAGGAATAAACAGAAAACCTAAACAGATAAATAATGAGAAACAAGACTGAATCAGTAATAAAAGGTCACCCAACAAAGAAAAGTTTGGGACCTGTTGGCTTTACTGTTGAATTCTACAAATTTATAAAGAAGAACTAACCCCAGTTCTTCTCAAACTATTCCAAAAAATTGAATAGGAGGGAATTCTAACTCATTCTTCAAGGCCACCTTTACCCTGCTACCAAAATCAGACAAGGACACAACAAAAAAAGAAAACTACAGGCCAATATCCTGATGATCATAGATGCAAAGTCCTCAACAGAATACTAGCAAACTGAATCCAACAACACATCAAAAGTGGTGATCAAGTGGAATTTATCATAGGTATGTAAGGACGATCCAACATTTACAAATCAATAAATGTGATACAACACCATCAATGGAAGGAAAGACAAAAACCATATGATCATCTCAACGCATACAGCATCTGATAAAATTTAACATTCCTTCATAATAAAAACTCTCAACAAACTAGGAACAACAGGAACATACCTCAACATAACAAAGGCCACATATGACAAACCCACAGCTAACATCATACTGAATGGGAAAAACTGATTTAAGAACTGAAACAAGACAAATTATGCCCACTTTCACTGCAGGCATCCAGATTGGAAAGGAAGAAGTCAAACTGTCCTTTTTTGCAAATGACATGATTTTGTATACAGAAAAACCTAAAGACTCCAACAAAAAACTGTTAGAACTGATAAAGGAATTCAGTAAAGTTTTAGGATACAAAATCAACATACAAAAATCAGTAGCATTTCTATATACTAATAATGAACTAGCTGAAAAAAAAAATCAAGAAAGCAATCCCATTTACAATAGCTACCAAAAAAAAA